GTGGGTGGGAGGGGGTTGTCTTCGGTAAAAATTGATTCTTGAAATTGGGGTTTGGCTTTGGAACATGAAATTAAACTATAGCTTGAATTCATGATTATTGGACCTTTAAAGTGGAAACTTTTATTTATTTATTTTGATTTGGTGAACACCCGCAAAAAAAAGAAAAGAAAAGAAAACCCTCCCAGGCTCAGCATAAAGACTTGGATGATTAAGTTATTGATGAACATGAATATGTATTACAGCAAAATGAAGGCAATTTGGATGGGAAAGAACTTTGCTTGAGCTTTGGCATTTGTGGTATTTATTTATTACAAGTTTGTATACAGCACATGACGATGTGTAGCAAAAATAATGTCCATGTACATTGTCCTTGTGTACAAAAATTTGTTAGGTGCTAGCTAAGTGTTGTATCAACTAGCGAGCTTATTTCAAGTGGCAAAAGTTGATGGATTTGGGACTTAGGTTCGAGCCCATGCGCCAAGCCAACTAAGCATGGTATTTAAGTGGAGAAGGGTAGAGGTGCAGACCCATTATCCCTGAGTTTCGGATGCTGCAATTGGTCCTAAGGGGTTGACCCGAATAGATTTATCGGTCATAAGAAAAGGGGTTGTATCAACTGAGTTTCTCTTTCGGCAAAGAAAGATAGTTTGGGAAACAGATACAGGAGTCGAGGAAGGTACAAAAACAAAAGTTCCTTTGAATCGCGAGGCACAAAAAGACAGTGGAGACTCCTTTGTTAGTAACGTTATTAATAGTTGCACCTGTGTCATATATTTTGATAAGTAAAGTAGTTTAATCACAACTAAATTGAAAGCACCAAGGGCTATAAAAGCATTGCGAATCTTCCTTCTGTAGCTATCTAGATTGTTCATGTTTCTTACCTATATCACGATAAATTTTGCTAATATGTTAGAATCTTAAGTTTACACATTTCTTGAAACTTCTGCAAAGCACCTCAAGGTGGTTGAACACTCTATAAGACTATAACTGCTTTAGGCGTTGTCTAATCAGTTTCAGAAAGAAAATAAATTCCAGACATCTTTTACTTCCTTAATTTGCAAATAAGAGATGATTCATTGTTTTTCCCTCCAGTTCACATGATTATGTGCTTTTTCAGTATCCAGCTTACAAGCTAGTTTAGGACTGCATCTTCCAATCCACGCCCAGATATTCATTTTCTATTGGGGATGAGCGTGACTCTTCCTTGCTTTCACAAATATGTTCTGCACATCCGATACAATATGGCTATGACTTCTTCTAAACTCAAAGACAACAGCTTTGGTAAAGTCTTTTATTAAACTGGTACCAAGCTGGTACCGGAACAAGATCAATCTAATAGATGTAGACATTGATACTTCCAAGTTCCAACTAAGCTAATTGAGTGGAAATCTGGTGCTCAATCAAGCTCATCTCGTCTCTTGAAGATGCATCTATCCTGAAAGTAAAAGGTTCTCAGAACGTTTTTATTACCTATTGCCAAAATTTTTAAAATAAGCTTCACTGTGAAGCCATCTGACCTTCATAACATTTCTCCTGCTCGTGAATTTACTGCTTCAATAACTCTCTTCTGGTACACCTGGTAAAATGAATTTCTTCCACTTTTGGTCACTTGTGCTAATCGTCAGAGAATAGATTCTGATGAAAGTAAGGGTTTTCGTTCTTATTCCTATTTGCGTCCTTAATTGTTCTACCATTAATGAACAATTTGAAGATACTGTAGTAGCGATAATGTGCATTTGCCATTCTACACAAAATCTAATGTTTTTGTCTGCTTCCGTGATGCACCATGCTCTATATTTTTGTTGCCATATGATGTCCTTTATTAATGCCAATCTGCCCAGGTATCTGTTCGGCATTTTCATTATAAATCCTTTTGGTCTACTTCTTAGACTTAGTTGCGATGTCAAGAGGTTGAGAGTCCTTAACTTTCCCGGAGTCTCGAGTTTTGTTTCTTCCAGTTCAAACACTTATTTTCTTCCATTTTCGAACATCCCCTTTCCTATTTCAGCATCACGACCAACACAAACTCTGTGTTTCCCGTTGCATGGTAGGACTCCAACCAGTTCTTTACTTGGTCTTCAGGCCCTTCCTTTCATAACTGCATGTTCTCTAATCTGAGAGGTCTCTTGATTATCTATCCAAATTCAGCATCATGGGGAAGTGATCATAAAGAAGTCTTCGCTGTAAGACTCTTGTATTTGCATATTCTCTTTCTGATTACCTGAGATTAATAGCTTGTTTGGCCAAGCTTCTAAAATCAGCTTATTTTGAGAAGTGCTTTTTTCAAAAGTACTTTTCAAAAAAGTACTTTTGGTGAGAATCAGTTTGTGTTTGGCTGATTAATGTGAAAATCACTTTTGAGCATTACTTAGTGTTTGGCCAAGCTTTTGAAAAGTGCTTTTGGAGAGAAGCTATTTTTTTCTGCTTCTCAAAACTGCTTCTGCTTCTCCTCAAAAGTACTTTTTTTTCCTTCTAAAATCTTGGCCAAACACCTCAATTTTTTGCCAAAAGTGCTTTTGGCCGAGAAAAGCACTTTTGGCCCAAAAAAAAGCTTGGATATAAAATTGTTCAAGCCTGGAAAACTTCCTTGTCTTTCCTCCACTCGGACCAAGTAAAATTTCCTTCTATCAATGGATCCATATCCAGAATTAAGTATGATCATAGTGATAAGTACATGACTTATTTGATCTTGATCTTTCTTCCAGAAAATTCATCTTAGGTCCATGGGCCTTGGAAAACACCAGGAGAAATTGCTAATGACAAATTCAAGCGAATAGGAAATAGAGTAGTTTCCAGCAAGTTTGTCTTGACATGGTTAACCTCCTATCTCGCATAACTACGCTTTTACAAACACTGGTGCTACACACTCTGGCTTAGCTCATAAGATTTTTCGTCTATTTTACAGCCAGTTTTCACTCTTTTGCATTGTCGATGAACCTCTCCAATATCACAGGCAAGTCCCTCACTGCTGTATCATTTGCCAACTCGGCAATGCTTACTACTGCTCTTCTTATCTTGGTTAGCCTGAACGTAAACAAATCTGCCATAGAGTTGGAATTTCTTATGAATTGCTACTCATTTTTGGTTTTTGCATCTTTTCTCCATTTGTTACCTATCTAGCCTTTGCTTTCTGATGCTAGTCATAAGACATGTCAGCACTGTTTATCCAACTATTATTGTGCTTGCCGATCCTCTCCTCTTCCGATGATGCTGAACCACACTGTTTCACTATGTTTGATTTCCCCAAAGGGTTTCCCTTCATCAAGGAAGAAAGTCTCTCTCTCTCTCCTTCTTGGGGACTGCCATTTCTCTTGGGCCAAAAGAGCAGAAATAACTGGAGAAAACAACTGAGGACACTGGCGCCAACCCGTTTCAGCCAACATCACGGTGCTGCAACTCGTGCCGGTGTACACGGACACACATAGTGCTCTTTTAATCGCATTAAGTTGGTTGCAGCGTGATTAGCACTAAGATGATATATTTGTTTCATGGGTAATTTTTTATGCTATCAAAGTTATGTAAACTGTGGTTACCACTCTTCCTAAGATGCTGGTCAATTGCTTGTGTTTAGGTGAAATTTGGTGTTACTCATCATGGAAACTTCAGATAAAGAGTATGCTGCTTTTGGAGAGAAAGTGAAACGTACTATATTCATTGACAACCTTTCACCTGTGGCTACTGAAGCTGTTGTTAAAGCTGCTCTTGATCAATTTGGGAATGTTATTCAGGTCAAGTTTATCCCAAACTACCTTGAACCAAAGAACATTGGACAAGCTGCATTGGTTGAGGTGGAAAATGCAGACCAGACGAAAACTATTATCTCTGAGTTAAGCAATTCCCCGTTTATGATATGTGGTATGCCAAGGCCAATCAGGGCACGTGCTGCTGAAGCAGAGATGTTTGATGACCGTCCTAGAAAACCTGGTCGTAAGATAGTATGCCGATGGTTGGACTCTAGCGATCCGGATTTTGAGGTGGCCAACAAGATCAAGCTTACGGTTAGAAAACAGGCAGAGGAATCCAAGTTTTTGCTCAAGGTAAACTTTCGTTTTTTACTTGCAGTGTATATCTCACATTTAAGTATTCCTGATGTTAGAAGTTCATTTTTTCTATGTAGCATCAACTGGAGGAGGAAGAAAATCTTTCGAAGAAACAGACGGAGACCTTGAATGCAAGCTATAAGAAGTTTGAAATCATAGAAAGTGTTGTTAGCAACAGAGTCGCTACACGGTTGGCAGAACGTTACAGAGTGCGTGTTGCAGATGCTGAGCATTAAGCTCATTGTTCGAATACTTTGCACAACAAACTAGCATAGACCTAAAGATTCAACTTCTAGGCGATTGACATGTTTTGCTTTTTATGAAGATCATATTTCAGGCAGTAGAGTTGAATCTATAAAACCCTGTGTTCACTTGATCATGAATTGTAATTTGGCCTAAATTTACTTAATTATGTTTCAAGTAAACCTGCAGGAAATTAGCTTATATCTAATTATCTAAGAATATATTGTAAGAGTGTTAAAGCTAGTGTGTGTGTGTGTGTGGTTTTCTTTTTTCCTTTCTGTGGCCAGGAGAAAGATGTAGTTATAACCATAGTAAAGCAGGGCAACGACAGGTATGATCAAGTGAAAAAAGAAAGCCAAAAGTAAAGCAGCAAAAGAAAACAGTACATGGCACAAAGTCTCAACAAACTGGACTTGAACAACATAGCAACACAAGAATTTAAATAACACATACTTTAACAAAAGTCACAAGTTGACTTAGACAAGCCAATTTATTAGTAGTTACTCCATAAAATTAGACAGACCAGAAGACGCTTTGAATTAAAGATTTGGAGCTGGAATAGCAAACTCCAGAAGCTCAGGATCTTTTTCAAATATAGACATGTCTTGTTTGTCCAACATGACTAAAGCTTCAACTCCACCTCCACTTTGATTATCCATTAGAAAAAATAATTTACTGATGGGGCCAGTTGCCATGCTCACTTTAGCTGGCCTCCCCCAACCAAAGTCCGTTTTATAAAGCGGGAGTGCAATCACACTGCTACAAAAATAATCATCAAATTCATTGTTTTTCCCTTTTTCAAGTGAATCAAGTACTTTTGAGATAAATGCATTTTTCTTAATATTATCTTTGTCCACAAGTTTCTCTTTTTCCTTTCTCATTTCACTAACCAATCTTGGACAATTCATTTCCCTTTCATTGGTTATTGGCACCAAAAATCCAGATATAATATTTCCAGATGCATCATGGGACAAAGACGGGTTCAGCCTTTGGCGCATATCAGCCACTTGAAACAAGGAAGATGGTCTAAATGAACCAAAATTCACTCTTCGTGCAGCTACAGCACATTTATAAAGGAGTGCGGTCACAACTTCGGTTCGAGTGGGATTGCATACTCCTGAATCCATAGAAAATATGGCTTTGAGTGCATTTACTTTAGCAGCAGGAAAAACAAATCGTTTCCCTAGATATCCCACCGGTTCTTCTGACTTTATAGACTTTGACACAATAGATGGATCACTAGATTGAGGGTAGATGGAGTCTTCAACAAAATGAGGACGAGATAAATTTGCACTTATATCACGGCTCAAAACCCCCCAGTTGTAAAAGAAACTACTGGCGGTGCAACCATCTCCAATTTTGTGCGATAAGCATCCACCAACTGCTATTCCTCCACAATCAAAATGGCTTACCTGATCAAAATCCGGATTAGCCGGGTCAGTATATATATATATATATATATATATATATATATATATATATATATATATATATATAGTCTGAATACCAGGTGCGAAGCCACTTTTTGCAAAGGGTGCTCTGATACCAGTGGCGAAGCCACCTTTTGCAAAGGGTGGTCAACTGACCACCCTTCGCCGAAAAATTACGAAAAATTACACTATGTATATTAGTAAAATATTAATTTTAGATGTATAAAACGTATATTGAACACCTTTTGTTGGAACTTTTTTTTACTTCTTTCAAGCCTGAACACTCTTGTAAATATTTCTGGCTTACGGGATACTAGATGGTTAAACCAAAAAATAACTTACCTGAGTTATAGCTAAATTTCCTTCATCGTGGCCGTGAGGTTGGGCTACTGGAAAAACAACATGTTCAGCATTAGTGTAAGGGTGATTAAAAATTTCAGACATGGGACAATGGACACGAACGTGGGATAACTCAACCCCAGCGTCATTACAATCAACAGTGGAACTATCCTTTAGTCTTCCAGCGTAAGGATAATAGAATGATAGTGTTTTAGAAAGAGATTTCTCAAGAAGTTGAGATACGTGAGTAGGTTCATATGACTTGTCATTACCATTTTTAGGGTAGAAAAATGAAACAGGAATATAATAATGAAAAACCTGATCAACAAAAGATAATTTGTGAATTCTAAGAGGAGTCGGAATAGAGGGTTTGATGATCTTCTTGGAAATCAAAGAAATAAGTGATGATGCCACCATTATACTTTCTAAGTCTTAAGCAATACTGCACTTCTTTTTGGTTTGGTTAACTATTTGAGAGACTTACTTATATACATACATATATGTCTTAGAGTTTAATTTCTGTGCATTAATATTGTACAATTATTTTGCAACGTGAAGTTAAGTTACCTACAATAAATTGTAACTATATATAGTAGCTGATATGATAACATGAAAATATCCGTAAAAATATATGTATATGTATTATGTATACATATTTATATATAATAGTATCTTAGGAGAGGTAACAAAATAAATCAAAACAAGGAATGTAAGGGTAATATCACAAATTACAAAGAAAATTGGTGTTATGAAATCAAACTTGAAGAGATTGTGAACAAAAAATTTCTCAAAATCTTTTTAAAAAAAAAAAGTAAATATACCACCAAGTAGGCTGCCTAGTGCCTAATTTCTCAAAGTTTTAATTGTAAAGTTGACAGGAAAATAAATAAAATAGCCTAAAACGCCGGACACTACTTAACTAGTGTCGACTCCTATGCAATTAAATGAAGCAAAAAAGTACTTCCACATTCTTATTTTGGATGAAGAAGACATTGTGAGAATTACTTCTAATGGAAAACCTAACGCGACCCAAATTATTAGGAAAGCTCAAAAGTCAAAACCATGTAGGGGTTGGCTTAGCTTAATGGATCATTCAATGTGTGGGTAATTGGCTGCTTGCTATTAGATTAGTAGGCTCTTGATGGGAACGCATTAAGAGCGGAACAGGATCACTTGCACGTAATATAGACAACACATAATCACAGATTATAATCGAACATAAAATCGATACTTATCTCTTAAAACGTGACCGCGATTGCGAAAAGAGCCTCCAAGCAAGAGCGAAACCGTTCACGAAATTATCCTTCAGCTCCACAGTCTTCTGCTGTGTGACCTAAACAATGTCCGAAATTGGCAAAACTCATATGGGCGAGTTTCTCCTAGGAAAACCGTAAAGCAAAAACTATCACATCCTTATGGAATAAGACCCCTTTATATAGCCACAGGTTTTATGGTTTCAAACCTTTTTCTAATCTTTCTTTTCCACAAAGAATATAATTCCATTTAATTCCTAATTATTCAGGCACAACGGGAACCGCAAAATTTAATTAACGAGACTTCCTATTATAGACTTAATTCAGAATATTCGAATTAATACTACCATAATAAATTATGAATGATTTCACTAAAAATTCGTAACTGCACTCCTCAATTCAATTTCGAAATTCTTCCATTAAACCTTATTTAACTCCCTATGTTATGATTCAAACACTAAAATAATAAATTAAATTACTGATAATTTAATTCATTGATTATTTTCTTTAGACTTTCACTTAACTTATTTATGTGACGGATGCAAAATCCACCTACAGGGTTTACACATGAAAACTTATAAGCTTGCATAAAGGTGTATCATCATTCTCTAGACCGAAGCATGGATTCCATCAACTAACTATTACTTCGCCAATGTATATTATCATTGTCCAATTTACCAGGCATATTCATTCACAAAAGAATCTCGCCTTTTAATAAATTAAAATAAATAAATAATATACACAACTAATAATAATTATATCAAGATTAAGAGTATAAGTATATTTAATAGACTAGAGACTATTTTATTAAGCCAGTATAAAATACTTGTCTCTACTTGGTCCATACTTTACATACAAAATGTACTAGCACAAGAAGTCAGAATTATACCATTCTCATAATCAAGATAAATTATATTTAATCTTGTTCTACAATCATTCCCGACGGTTTGTCCAATTTCATCATTAGATTGTGAACTCCAACTTTATACTTATAAGAACCGATGATTTAATCTTCTGTGTATAAGCTAAACTCTATACACTAAATCATCTACTATATAAGCAAAGAACACAAACTAATATATGATCTATTTAAATTTTTTATTCAAATTGAATAAATAATTATTTCATAATAAAAACTATATCCAAACCAAACCCATGGTTAATAGAATATATCCCAACAATCTCCCACTTAGATTTTTAACCGTGATAATTGTTAGAATATACTATATCTAAACACATGGATAATAATATATGCCCTAATAATCTTCCACTTAGACTCATAACCATGCATCTACAACTTTGAAATGCATTCTTTTTACACGGCTGTCAAAAGGCTTTACCAATAGGCTTTTGTTGAAAAACTTGCCAAGTATTTTCTGATGCAATCTTTGTCTAGTAGTGCTTTGTCGAACTAACTACTTTGGCATTAAGCTCTTCAGAGATCTTGTTATGAAACTCTCTCAAGAGTACATACCAAACTATGATTTTCTTTACTATTCTCCCACTGTGATGAAATACTACTAATATTATCTTCATTACCCTTCGGAATTAAAATATTAATGACTTCTTCCTGTAGTGTTATCTGCTCAACACCACTCCCACTACTTAGAGGTAGTAGATTTTGTTTTGTCTATTAATGTTTCTCCCATTGCTTAAATGCAATGGAACGTCACTTCTGACGTATAGTGTTATATGTTCTTGAGCCTCTGAATATTCAGATGATTCATTTGTTATTTTTTTGCTTAGTTCTTGTAAGACTAGTTTACTTCTAGGAACATAGTTTATTAAATAATCCTATTATAGAGAACTTGTGACGACCCAATAGGTCATTTTGAGTACTAGCCTTAATTTCATGATTCGAGACCCCCAGTAGCTTCATTGATATTTATTGGTTTGCCTGCTAGTCCATGTCGATTTTCGAAAAGCTTTTATGTGAATTGAAGAAAATAAAAAAATTTGACTAAAAATGAGACTAGAGTTGGCCACGCTCAACATTTTGGGTAAACGGCCTCGGATAAGTATTTTGACAATTTCGGTAGGTTCATATTGTGATTTTAGATTTGGGTATGTGCCCGGAATTAAATTTGGAGGTCCCTCAGTTGATTTGACTTGTTTTGCCGAAAGTTGGCAATTTGAATATTTAGAAATTCTCTAGCTTTGACCGTAGGTTGACTTTATAGTTATCGGGTTCAGATATTGATTTCGGGACTTGGAGCTATTTGAAACTTTTCGGCAAAATTCGATGTCATTCGGAGTTGGTTTGATAGGATTCAGATGCTTGATTGTGATTTTAGAGGTTCTTAAGTTTTGTTTTGAATTTCATGCGTTTTGATGTCTGATTCATGGTTCTAGATATTATTTTGGTATTTTGATCACGCGGACGTGTTTGTATGGCATTTTTAGACTTATCTGGATATTTAGTTTGGAGCTCCGAGGGCTCGGGTGAGTTTTGGACGTGATTCGGATCGGATTGAGCTACTTATAAGTTGATGGTGTGCTAGTGCTGCAGTTGTCGCAATTGCGAGCACCAACATCGCAATTGCTAAGAGGACAGGGGAGGTCTAGATGTTGCAAATGTGATTCCCTCTTCGCATTTGCGAAGACAGTATAGGATTGGGTTAGGTCGCATTTGCAACCATTGTGTTGCTTTTGCAAAGAAGGCTGCCATCGTATTTGTGAAGACTTTGTCGTAATTGCGACATCTGTGTGGGCTGTCAAGGGTCGCTTTTGCGATCCCTGATTGGAAACTGTGAGGGTTTGCAAATGCGAATACAAGGTCACATGCAGCTAAATAAAAGGTCTGGAAGACGGTATTTTAGTCTCATTTTCATATTTCTAAACCCTAGATTCGGTAGGAGGCGATTTTGAGAGGGTATTTTCACATACAATTATTGGGTAAGTGATTTTGATCTATTTTTAATTATATTACATGATTATACATGAGATTTAACACCAAATTCATGAGAATCTAAGAAAAATTTTGGGGATTTTTGTCTATATTTTGGAAAAATAAAAATTTGGGATTTGAGAGTCGAATCGGACTCGGATTTGAAAACAAAACACATATATGGACTCGTGGGGTTATGGGTAGTCGAGATCTACCCTTGGACTCGTATTTTGACTGGGCAAGCCCGGGGTAGACTTTTATTGACTTTTTCCAAATTCATTAAAGATTAAATCTTTTTCACTCGTGGGTAGTTTCTAAAGCTTAATTCGAATTATTTGAACTACATTTGGCTAGATTTGACTAGTTTGAAGGCTAATTCTAAAGGAAAGGCCATCGTTGAGTGTTGATTGGATTGCAAAAAGAGGTAAGTGTTGTGCCTAAATTTGACTTGAGGAAATTAGGACATGTTGGTCTACTTGTTATGTGAATTATGTGGGAAAATATCATATATGCGAGGTGACGAGTGTATATGCCCCGTCGTTAGGTTAAAGCATGCAGGATTGGGATATTTACTTTCATGTCTTCTTTTATTCTGTAGTATAGAAAACATTGAGCTAATTAAATATAGTGAATCCAATTCCAAGTCAGCAGGTTATAAGCAAATTTTTCTCACTTCGAGCTCATAAACATACCTGGAAATCAAGAGCAAAAGCAAAAATGGAATAAGGATTTCAGCATAAGCAGAAAAGTGAGCAAAGCAGCAAGTCAACAGTAATGTTCAGCCTCTTTAGACCATCTTTATACCCAGAAGTCCATAAATCCCACGAAAGCTTTAAGTTCTTACTAAAAGAGAAATCAGGGAACAATTCCAACCAATTTTTAATGAAATTAATGCAGAAACTTTTGTGTATTTTCTAGGGTCTGAAATCTTTGATTTGTCTGTGAAGGAAATGGTCTATATATAGCCCTTAAGAGTGCCATGTGCTGCAGAAACAGAATGGAAATTATTCCCTCACACAACATCTTTTTTTTAACAGAATTGGGACAGCTGGCAGCTTTTGATTGGTTTCAGCATTGGTGCTGGCCAAAATTGAGCCAGCTGTCCCGAATTCTAGAAGTTTCTCATATGAAAATCCTCTTTCCTATTCCCAAATTAACCTTCTAAGTTTTCATTTGTTCACTTAAGACCTAGGAGTTTCTAACAACTTACAAATCATGGTAAACAAAATCAGAGCAAGAAAACATTGGAAACAAATCAAATAATAAACAGAAATGCAATTGAACCGAGGGTATTG